ATTATTCACCGTAAGAGGTTCGTCTCTTTGGTCGATGCATCGAATTTAGTTTACAGGCTCGCGTAGCCATAAACACTGTTCTCTAGTTGGTATTCCGATTTTAGGAGATTATTTAGAGCACAATAGAGGAAGTAAAATATGAAAATGACTTCGAGGAAACCGATTTATATTTACGTAGCAAATGGGGGAGGATATGAATGTTAATTGCAAAGGATGTAAACTTCCCACGCGTTGTTCGATTGTTCGATTACTCGATGCATCGAATTTAATTTACAGGCTGGCGTAGCCACGAACACTGTTCTCTAGTTGGTATTCCGATTTTTGGTAATTATTTACAGCACAATAGAGGAACTAAAAAATGAAAATGACTTCGAGGAAACGTAGCAAATGGGGAAGAATATGAATGTTAACGCAAAGGATGTAAACTTCCCACGCGTTGTTCGATTGTTCGATTACTCGATTGTTCTTTTCGACGTGTTCGAGTTTAATCGTGAGTAGCGCGACCCTCGCGACGTCTCGAGACACTCGATACGGGAGAGAGCATGATCGTCAGAGTGCTCGATTACGCTCACCGAGGTACGTTCGCGCGCCCCGCCACCATCCACGCCGCGCCAAGATACCGTTGAAATTATCTCAAATTCGCGGTCCCGGGGCAGCTAGATATACGCAGGCCTGCTATCGTTCCTCTCTGTATCGCGCGTAGACAAAACTAGATTAGAAACGAGCATTGTCTAGGTCAGGGTCGGCGTGTATCAATCCCTCTTTCGATACCGTGAGATCGCGCAGCACGCGACCACCGACTTTGTTGACAATTTTCCGCGCGCGATCGCTACGTGCAACGAACGTGTACTGCATGCATCGAAGAAAATTAACCCCTGCGGAATCCAGACCCAACGATCAGAATTTCTAGCCTGATTTCAAGATTCTTTCGCTTGGAAATTAGAATATAATCGTAAATAGGACGTAAAAATGGCCCCTGGATTTATCTGATCAAATATAGGATCGAAAATTTAAGGTTATTTTGATCGTAGAAATTTCTCTGAGTTTTAAAATTCTTAATTTCAACAATGTTTTCTTATTTTTAACTGTTATAACAAGAAAGTCTCGAAATGTAGCGTGATCGCTACATGGAACGAACATGTATTGCATGCATCATAGAAAATTAAACCCTGCGCAATCCAGACCCAACAATCAGAATTTCTAGTCTGATTTCAAGATTCTTTCGTTGGAAATTAGAATATAATCGTAAATAGGACGTAAAAATGGCCCCTGAATTTATCTGATCAAATATAGGATCGAAAATTTAAGGTTATTTTGATCGTAGAAATTTCTCTGAGCTCCAAAATTCTTAATTTCAACAATGTTTTCTTATTTTTAACTGTTATAAGAAGAAAGTCCCGAACTCTTTGAGTTTGCAGACGATTTTGTAACATGTATTGCATGCATCAAAGAAAATTACCCCCTGTGGAATCCAGACCCAACAATCAGAATTTCTAGCCTGATTTCATGATTCTTTCGCTTGGAAATTAGAATAGAATCGTAAATAGGACGTAAAAATGGCCCCTGATCAAATATAACCTCGAAAATTTCAGGATATTTTGATCGTAGAAATTTCTCTGAGCTCCAAAATTCTTAATTTCAACAATGTTTTCTTATTTTTTACTGTTATAATAAGAAAGTCTCGAACTCTTTGAGTTTGCAGACGATTTTGTAACATGTATTGCATGCACCAAAGAAAATTACCCCCTGCGAAATTCAGACCCAACAATCAGAATTTCTAGCCAGATTTCATGATTCTTTCGCTTGGAAATTAGAATAGAATCGTAAATAGGACGTAAAAATGGCCCCTGATCAAATATAGGCTCGAAAATTTAAGGTTATTTTGATCGTAGATATTTCTCTGAGCTCTAAAATTCTTAATTTCAACAATGTTTTCTTATTTTTTACTGTTATAATAAGAAAGTCTCGAACTCTTTGAGTTTGCAGACGATTTTGTAACATGTATTGCATGCACCAAAGAAAATTACCCCCTGCGAAATTCAGACCCAACAATCAGAATTTCTAGCCAGATTTCATGATTCTTTCGCTTGGAAATTAGAATATAATCGTAAATAGGACGTAAAAATGGCCCCTGATCAAATATAACCTCGAAAATTTCAGGATATTTTGATCGTAGAAATTTCTCTGAGCTCCAAAATTCTTAATTTCAACAATGTTTTCTTATTTTTAACTGTTATAAGAAGAAAGTCCCGAACTCTTTGAGTTTGCCGACGATTTTGTAACATGTATTGCATGCATCAAAGAAAATTACCCCTTGCGCAATCCAGACCCAACAATCGGAATTTCTAGCCTGATTTCAAGATTCTTTCGCTTGGAAATTAGAATATAATCGTAAATAGGACGTAAAAATGGCCCCTGATCAAATATAACCTCGAAAATTTGAGGTTATTTTGATCGTAGAAATTTCTCTGAGCTCTAAAATTTTTAATTTCAAAAACGTGTGAGGAAGTTGACTTCCTCGAGACTAGTTTTTAAAGGGTCCTGCGCGCGCATGGCAGAAGAGGAAGTCAGGTTTTTGGAAACACGTGCGATTAGTGTGAAAAGTGTAAAAGACGATCGAGAATAAACATCGAATGTAGATTCTTTCGCAGAGAAGCTCTTCGCGTTGTTCTTGACTGGCCCCCTTTTGGTATTCCCCATAATTGGAAAATTATAATATTATAAAATTATAAAATTATGAAGTTATAAAATTATAAAATTATAAAGTTATAAAATTATAAAATTATAACATTATAAACGTTTTCTTATTTTTAACTGTTCTAACAAGAAAGTCTCGAACTCTCTGAGTTTGCAGACGATTTTGGCGGGAAATTTTGCGCGCGAAGATTGAAATTCGCGCGACGTGTGTGGTTCTGCTGAAAACCGTTGTAATTAGAACTCGAAACGTTCACCTTCGGACACGTGGAAGGCATAACGAGAGACTCTGTAACGCGACACGTTTCCCAGCCGAGGACGAGCAGGGAAATTAGTCACGAGTGGTGGGTGTACACGGTTGGTTTTCGAATTTCCCAAGCGTCTGGACGTGGGGGACGATCGAATCCTTTTCCCCGTTATTTACGATCCGTGCAACACGATCCATCGTTCGCGTTCTCTCCAATCGACCACGATTTATCGTTGTTTCGAGAGACCCAGGGTCCCCCGTAAGTCGAGACTTGGGAAATCCTCGACACGGTTCTTTGAAAATCTTCGAATCGTCGAGTTTGATAAACCGTGGCACCGAATTTTTTGTTACCAACCAACGAATGCTGATCGAGACAAAATTTTGCAGCGTGATTTTAAAATTTTCAATATAATTTGAAAAGATAGATTTATTAGAGCCTCCAAGAATTGTACGATATTTATTTCAGACATTGTTCGATATTTTTTTTCCTCTGTAATTAGAAACAAAATGGCTGACGCTTGTAGTTTCTCGTTCGAAGTCGAAGAGAGGTTAGTTTCAGCGAGATTTGTGCAAAATTTTATCAAAATTGGCACTCGATGGTTGATAATTATCCCTAAAATGCTGTTGAATTCGTCTAGTTTGCACCAAGAGTATCGAGTTCGTAAGAAATACGAATAAAACATAAATAAACGAGTACTTTGGGTACTCGACATTGTCTAGGGATAACGGAAGCGCGAATTGGAAAAATAAGCTGTGTATTTAACCCGTAATTAGTTCTTATCTACGAGACACAAGAAAACAGAGGGAGTACAGCTTAGAATTTCGTTGTTTCGAGAATACACGAGCGTTTACAGCGTTTGCATGGCATTTAATACGCGTACCGAGACGCCATGTTGAAAAGTATCGCGAACTTAATACTCGATACGCTATCGTTTGCACCGCAATTTTGTTCCCAGTCGAATAAGGTCACCTCGCCAATAATAGATCGGAGAAATTGTTTAATTTTTAATTTTATTAAAATCTCCAAGAATGAGAATATTTATTATGATCAGACATCTTTACGTCTTTCTCGTGGATCAGGTGGTTCTTGATCATCAAAATTTAACACTTTGACTGCCATGTCACCCCTATACATATATGGGTGACAGAACTTTTAACAGTGAAACTAAAACAATTAATTCTCAAGTTGAAATGTTAAAGGAAATAAATTTTAACAAGCTTCGTAAATTTTAATGTGGTCACAAAAGTAACTACTACGACAACTGTTAAGTTGTGTAGTTTAGAATTGCCTAGAATCAAAGTATTGGTCTCGTAAACAATTTTAGAATTTTAGATTGGCAGTCAACGTGTTAATAATTATAAGTACTAGTATTAGAGCAGGGTTAGGTTTCAATTATTATCAGATTTTGTCCTGCTAGCAATTTAGAGGATATCAATCTTTATAGAAAAAAGTTATTTAATAATAAGAATATTTAGTTTTCATATATCCAGTGAAAATTATTAATAATTGTATTTAATTTTTAGCTTTATAGTAAAAATTGACTAGATAGCCACAAAAACTGGCTAAAATTTTTCTTCTATTTGGAAGTTGAGAAGCATGTGAGCATTGTACTGTTCGAAGCTAGAAAGATGACAACAGTAAAGAATGCCAAAATGGTTGATGCATCATCTATCAAGGAAACAAGCTAGAATGTGAAACAGAGAGAAAAAGAGTCACGAACATAGGGACATTTTGTCCATCGAGAGACTCTCAACTATCCCACTAGCCATCTTTCCAGCTTTAAACAGTAGGAGCCAAACAATTACAACCAAAGAGGACTAATGGTTAAATGAGACCCATGGGGCACGAGGTGACCATATTTGACCAAATCTGCTACCCAGAGTGCAATGTATCGAGTATCACGTGGTTGGTACGCGTATCAAACGTTCGAATCGAAGGTGTGGTCGAAAAGATTGACCGAAAACGAAAACGCAAACGAAAACGAGAACGAAAACGAGAACGAAAAGGGTGACGGTCGTGGCGGGTGTAAAAATGAGGAAATTTGAAAATGATACTCACTGCCGCTAAGAGTGGTGGTGGTGGTGAGCTGGTGCTGCGTGTGGGTCGGCGGCGGGTTGACTGTTTGGCGTCTGGAGGGCGTCGCGTACTGCGTCCCCAGGGTGTCGTCCGAGGACGGGACGTAGGTCCAGGCGGTGGCGTTCACCGCTGCCCCGCCCCCGTTGTTCGTCTGTTGCGTGGGGTAGGACGGGCTGTAGCCGCGGAAGCTCGGTCTGCCGCAGAACGGTTGCGAAAACCCAGGCAGGGCCTGATGAGTCACCGTGCCTGACGTCTTGTCGCTGCCACCGTAGTCCTCGGAGATCCCGGAGAGACCTGTGTTCAGACCTGACACCAAAAACCGTTTCCTTCAGTTATCTCTCTCGCTCCAGAGGAAAAATTTCTACAGGGGGAACACCTTGGATAAACGGGACTATTTTATACTCGAATAAAACATTTTGCACTCCGAATTATATTTCAATTTTTTTATCAGCAGCTCTCGACGCCTTTAAGTGTTTTATTTGAAATTTACCTGTTAAAATATCTGTTGTTGGGTTTTGTAACTTTCAAGTGTAAATATATCTCTTTGGTTTGGACTTGACGAGGGAGCTTCTGAGATAAAAATTGATGTCGAATCACACTCGATATAGAAGTGCAAAGGGTTAGTTCGTAGATAAAAATACACTGTTAGATTTTATCTTAGTGATGAGTCCAGTTTCCAATGAAACAAGTGTATGTTGAAGAATGTAAATTCTACGTATGAAGATGGAAGATTTTGATTGCACAAAGCAAAAGATCCTCCACTGGGGAGACTTGCGAAATTTCTGAGAGTCTGGTAAAGACGAAACTGACAATTTCTAATATTGTATGAATTTTTGTTTAATCATCGTGATTACCTTGAGCGTTCCAGAGCTGCTGAGGGGAGGTTGGCAGTTCCGTGGGGCTGCCCGTCATGTACGGAAGAGCGTAAGTGCCTCCGCCAGCCCCCGCTGTGGTGGCAGTCGTCATGGTGCCAACTCCACTTATGGTGCGATACAACGGACTAAAACAATGCATAGAACAATAAAAATAAAAATTGTTGTGCAACAAAAATAAAAAATAAATAGAGGAAGGTTGCCCTCAAACTACAGTTCTTAACTTTTGAGAATAGTTTTGGGAACACTGGTCTACGAAATCAATCAAGATCCTCCCTATTTGCAATAATAATAATAATAATAATAAACTTAAAATAATCGTGTTTTCATCGAAATTTCATCGACAATGCTTGGATGGTGACGAAGATCGTATGAAATAATATCGATAGCGCTAAAAAATGGTGCAAAATAACCGATCGTAGTCGCCAGAGCCCCCCCTCGAGGATTGACGCCTCCGCCCATGGGATTTGGCCAGCACGCGACCGAAAACTCGTCGACCAAAGCGATTCGATACGGCCGTAAAGCGAGTCCGGGCCGCGTTTGTTGGCTAATTGTCCCGCAGGAGGCCGGAAACGAGAACCGTTCTCCGATTCATCGGTCCGTAAATGCGGGCGCGTGCCAAACCAGGACGTTTTTCGATGTACCCCGGCGACCAGCTACTACCGTGAACACAACTACTCCATTACCATTACCCACTGCCATTACCGTCGCTATTACCACTTTGCTATACCGTTACCATTAGCATCGACCACTATACCTGGGGACTCGCGTCGAACCGTTCCCCGGAAACCCCGCGAATCCGGGAAATATTGGCCCCGAGACTAAAACTGGACAAACTTCCTCTTCGTTTTTTGCTCCTCGAAAGCAATACTAAGTCACAGACGAAATTATTAAAATTGTAAAATGGATGATATTTGACTATCATGTTCTACTATTTTTGTATACTATTGGGGCTTGTAGATATGTATAGGATTGATTCTGTTAGAGAAGTTGAGGGTTAATTGTGGTTGTTGCAATAGTGTTTTTAAGATGGGATTTAACAGTTGTATATTCTGGTTCCGCGCAAGTTCAGCTTTGAAAGGAGTTGTTTTAAGAATATTATATTGCAAATACGGAGTAAATGAATAAGAGAAGTTTGAAAACTCTGTGTCGAACTAAACTCGAAGACTGACTGGAACCAAATATCCCTAGATTGACACTAGGTTAATGAAACGTGTAATTTAACAATTTTCAGATTCCCAAAATGGCGTTACCACTGCTTATAAATATTATTCCTTAGCAATTTCTATTCGATTGCACTTCAACCTGATTGCAATAAAAATGCACATCAAATTTTCCATTTTTCAACCTTCGTTCAACACGTTCGTCAACTATGTCTAGTGTTTAAATGAATGAAACTGAAAATTGGAAATTCAATTACGATGACTGTTAATAGAACGAATTGCAATAAAAATGCACATCTAATTTTCATTTTTCAACTTTTGTTTAACATGTTCGTCGATCATACTTAGTGTATAAATGAATGAAACTAAAAATTGGAAATTCAATTACGATGACTGTCAATTGAACGAATTGCAATAAAAAATTTTGTTTTTGTATTGCGACGAGACATGTTTGGACGAGTCACACACTGTCTCTAACTACACATGTATAAAGACCGCCATTAGTCGAGTGTTATTAGCCAAGTGTATCGATATTGTATTCGAAATATAGACAATTATTTGTGGCATAAATCCCTGTGCACTAAATAATCCAACAACTATACCTAGCGTTTAACTTAATAAAACTGAAAATTGGAATGTCAATTACTACGATCGAGACGCGTTCGTGGTGGTCGCCATTGCGCAACGGACGCGCACGCGTGAGATGTTGAAAATAACGGTCCGCGGCTACGAGGAGGCGAGGATCGTGCGCGCGCCAGTTTCCAATTTATCGCGCGGGACGCGGCAACTGTCGATTCGCGCGGCCTTGGCGCTTCTCGCGACTCGTCGGGACACGTATGGACACGTACGGATCGGCCGGTACGTGCTCCGCCGATCGCCTCGCGAATTCTCCCGGAACGACGGCTGTTCGAGGAACGACGTTTACCGTAAAAAAATAAAAAAAACCAACATCGATAACGAAAACGCGTCGCGACGACCTTCGGCGTTTCAGCGCGCGGAAACGAGGAAAACGCGCGACGACGCTCCCCGGAGAATCGAGCTCGCGATAAAACACGAAGCAATTCGAAACAGTCGCGATGACGAACGAACGCCTCGATTCAACAGATTCCAGATTCCTGATTCCAAAATTGACGATACAAAACTCGTATTTGATTATTTGGTTCTTAGTAGACTACGTTTGTTTTAATTTTAATTTTAATTCGCGAAAAATTAGAAAAATATGAGAAATATTTAGGGGGCAACCCTTTACGAAGCTTCCATTTCCTTAACTCTGTTGCATAAAGATTCACAGTCTAATAATGAGATTTGAGTGAAGAGAAGATTTTGGTTCTAGCAGAGGCTGATCTAGAGATCTTCGAGAAGTATTGAAAATTATAATTGCAAGTTTGAGGACGCGTCGATTCAACAGATTCCAGATTCCAAATTTGACGTTACAAAATTCGTAATATTTGATTGTTCGATTATGAGTACTGCGTTTGTTGATGCATTTATGGGAAATTTTAATTCTCGAAAAATTATGAAAATATGAGAAATACTTAGGGGACCCCTCTACGAAGCTTCCATTTTATTAACTATGTTGATAAAAATATGAATTTGCATAATGATTCGCAGTCTAATAATGAGATTCGAGTCAGAAGATTTTAGAGTTCTTCGAGAAGCATTGAAAATTTTTTTTTTTAATCGCAATTTGCTGGTAATTGCTAGCTGGAGGACGCGTGGATGACACTTGGGGTTCGGTTTTTATCCCGCATGGCTGACGCGGAACTGGTTGGAGGGCTCCCCAGCGTGGGCGATATAGATCCTCGCCGCCAGGTGCAACGAGGAAACGGTGCAAATGCAGCACGTGCTCGACGCTATTTCCACGACACGGCTTGGCACGCCAACTCGTGCGCATCCAGCCGACTAATGTCGCCCCACGAGCCCAGGACGTATCTGTTTCTAACATGATCGAGCTTCTTACCGACCACCGTGGCGTTTACACGCACGGATGTCGCATTAATTTACTTGGAACAGCCACGAACGCGACGATCTCTCTGCTCGATGAATTGTATAACCGTGCTTGACAAGACTTTGAAAACGATTGTTAAAAACGTGTAGAATTGTACAGCCATGATCAATGAATTCTACGATGAGTCTACCACCATTTTGGTATCGGTTTCTTTGAGAATCTGAGGTCTATGATTGAGCACCACTGGTCAGTTTGTGGTTCTTGCACGACTATGATTCGTACGAACGATTGCGAGAATAATTGTCACGTTCATGGTCGTGCCTAATCGATGGGTCCATTTAGACCCACGCCAACTGCTTTCAGTCTTCGAGTTTTGATTTTTGATAAATAGCGATAATAATATCGGTGCTAAGGAAGCTAGTAAAATTAACAATTTCGATTAATAAAGAATTGACAAATATGATAATAATGAGAAATGCAAAATAATGAAATTCAGATTTGAACCAAAATGGGGGTCCCGTCATTTGAAGGTTGATAAATATAAAATAAAATATCGATAATAATGGTGCTAAGGAAGCTAGTAAAATTAACGATTTCGATTAATAAAGAATCGACAAATATGATAATAATGAGAAATGCAAAATAATGAAATTCAGATTCGAATCAAAATGGAGGTTCCGTCATTTGAAGGTTGATAAATATAAAATAAAATATCGATGTAGTTTCCTGATTGCCTGACGTTGAGAGATCGAATTCGACCGGAAGTCGATGGACACCGATACGTTTCGTACGACGCGATCTGGTCGACGAGAAGCGATCGATTCGCCGCGAGGAATGGTTAGCCCATGACGCAATATGGCCAATGGTAACTGGAAATGATCGAGGCCGGTTTGTCAGTTTGTATATACAACACACCCAGACCGCCGTGGACTTCGATAATCAAAGGTTCGTGTTTCTTCCGAGAACCTTTTCGAGACACTCTCGATCGTCGTCGCGAACCCTCGTTCGTAATCTCGATCTCGACCGCTACTATTTACTCACCGCCGCCTTGCCCCGCCATTTCTCTTTCCTTTCGGTTCTTTACGCCTGCCACGACATGTCATCGACGACCGTTTACGATCTATATCACTGAGGATCGATGAAACAACCAGACGACGTTGACGACAACCAGAAATAAAAAATAAATTTAGCTTTCGATCTGTAATATTTGTTCGATCGAGATTACGATCTGTAAAGTGCAATTATGATTGATGGAAGTGTTCAAATGGTAGTGAGCACTGTGACTGTAGAATTAATGGTAGAAACGATGGTTGCAAAATTTAGAAAGGGTATTGTCCACCTTGTTCTACGAACGAACACTTTGTGACCGAGCGAGAGCTTTCACCGAGCGCGTTGAAGCAAGAATCGAGGAGGAAGGAAAAGGAAGAGAAGAAAATGTTTCGTTCGGTCCGCGAGGAATGCAGATTTCGCGAAATCCAATCTAGAAGGTCGGTGCCGACGGGGTTATAGCTCCCGGGCTACCGGACCGCTATCTGAATCCACCGAGTCGATAAGCCGCTTCTCACGATAGCACGCCGGAGACGAACAACCCGAGATCCGACGATCAACGTCGCTGGCTAAGTCTCTGGACGTCTCGACGACACTTTCATCGACAAATTAGATCGAAACAATGATTTAACAAGCTCTACAAATAGCCTAATACATCGGGTACAACGTATTTCATTGTTCTTTTCAGGCGATTGCGATTTCAACGCCCTCTATAAATGTGGTAGGTTCGTGGTAATGGAGAAAGAATTTTAGAAACAATTTTAATTAGTTTTAGTTTGTTTAGTTTGGGTCAGCTTCAGGGCAGCCATTTTGAAAAATCATAGTGTATTCTGGGAGCCTCGAAGACCCCTAACCCCAAAAATTTCAAGATTGAACGTTCTATGAAGGGGTTAATGGAAACAAATGCTTAAGAATCCTCGTTTTCGCTTTACAAAACACTGATATACATTTAATATTGAATAAAAAGGGG